AGACAGCTCAATGTCACAAAGTAAGTGGGGGTGGGGGTGGCTGGGATTCTAACTAAGTTTTGTCAGGTGGCAGAGCACACTACTGCTGTTGTGCTCGAAATCCTGCCAGAGCCGAGGTTGCAAGGGACAGAAAGGCTCATCTAAGTCACAGAGCTAGAGCTCAGGGGCCAGCTGCAGCACTCACGGCCTCGGGGGCTGTTCCACACGCTGGAGGGTGCACAGGGCCTGCCCAAATTGGTGGGGACACTCTTTCCCACTCACTTCTTTTTTTGTTTTTGTTTCTGCACCCGGAATCAAACTCAGGACCTTGTGCTTGCCAAGCAGGCACTTATGCCACTGAGCTATACGCCCAGTCCCTCCCACTTGCTTCATGTTCAGGGTGGATGAACTAGAATTTGAGACTGTAAGGGTATGGCCATGACCCCAGAGGGCCCTTTCAAGATTCAACATTCTTGCTGGGAGATGGCACAAACCCATGATCCCAGCACTCTGGGAGGCTGAGGCAGGAGGATTACAAGTTCAAGCCCAGCCAGGGCAACTTAGTGACTTAAAGAAATGCTGTTTCAAATTAACTGCAGCTGATGTAGCTCAGTGGAACGGTCCTGGTTCAATTCCTAGTGAACATTCTTTCGGAATGCTCTCCTCATCCATCAAGAAGCACAGCCGGGCTTGGGGCTAAAGTAAGCCAGAGAACATGGGCATTGTTCAAGTTCTGACTCTAGGCCAGGCACTGCATACATATTATCTGCAACAACACTGAAAAAAATAGATACTGTATTTATGTTCACTGCTTTTGTTTTTGTTGTGTGTTTTTTGTTTGTTTGGGTTTTGCTTTTCATTTGTTTGTTTTGAGACAAGGTCTCACTATATAGTCCAGGTTGGCCTTGAATTCATTATATAGCCCAGGCTGGCCTCAAACTCATGGTGATCTGCCTGCCTCAGCCTCTCAAGTGCTGAGATTACAGGGGTGCACCACCGTATCTGGCTACATTCACATTTTAGACCTGAAGAAACTGAGGTTCCCAGAGCGCTGGGATTACAGGCGAGCACCCCTACGCCCTGCGGGTGTTCGTTTTATTCTCTCCCATCTGGTCTCATCCCCCCGTGGGATTTCCGGTACAGATATGATTCCCCACATTTTGATCGTTTGTGGGCCCTGGAATGTGGTCGCCCCAGAACTGGCGCTGGCTGAGGGCAGCATGGGAAAGAACCAGAGCCTGTAAGGGGTGAGGGGTGTCACAGTCCAGCCCCTGTCTCTGCCCCCCGCTGAGCTGGCTTTGTCAGGCGGTGCCCTTGCTCCGGCCTTCGGACCAAATGTCCCCTCCCCTCTGTGTCGACTCCCCGGTTTCAGGGAAGCTGGGATGCTCATTCCACTCTGGAATTACAGATGTTTCCCAAAACCTAGAGCCACCCAAGGAGTGTGGCTCCTCTAGATCACACCAAGGAGTGTGACTCCACAGTGAGCTGGGTCTCCAACCCCGCGCCCTCCCTCAGCCTCCTCGCCTCCCCGTGCTGGTAATGAGCACAAAAGGCTTGGTGGGTGTCTGACACCGCCCAGGTACTGGTGCTGTTGCTGGATCCCTGACGTCTGGTACCTGGGTGTCTTCGCCTGTGATGTGGCTGTCGCCTCAGCATGGCTCAGAGTCGTGTGAGGCTCAAGTGAGTTCCCACATGGGACTGCGTTCCAGTCCGGCCCGGTAACTCTGTGATTTTAGCGAGTTTCCAAATAAAAAAAACTAGGAGCTGGGGATTTAGCTCAGCGGCACAGCGTCTGCCTGGCAAATGCGAGGTCGTGAGTCCAGTTCCCGGTACTGGAAAAACAAAACAACAACAACAAAAAAACAAATAAACAAATTAAAAACAATATAGCTCAGTGCGGATGCCCTGGGTTCAATCCCCAAGACTGCAAAACAAGCAAAAAAACCCTTCGAGTCTCAGGGGCGGGGGGTCGTCGAGTCCTGTGTCGCAGCCCCCACTTTGCAGGTTGCGCTGTGCGCCCTTGATCTCGGCACTTCACCTTCCCCGAGACCTCGGTTTCCACGCTCGAAACAGTGACAGTCCACGGTCAGAGCGCAGAGGTGGTTCCCGGCCGCTCCACCCTCCGCCGGGCCCGCGAGGTCCTGGGGCTGCGCTGCGGGCTCTGGCGCCCCCTGCCGGCCGTCAGGTGCCGCGCTCCAGCTGACCGGGCAGGGAACTGCGGCCGGGCAGCGGCCGGCGCTGCTGGGGGCAGGGTGACTTCACCCCGGAGAGGAAATGAGTCACCGCTCCCGAGGCGGGGGACGGCGCGGCGAGCGGGGGGACGCGGCCGCAGGAACCCGGGACAATGGCGGGAAGAGAGAGCAATGTGGGCCTGGCAGCCGCAACCCCAGAACCCACCGGAGGGCACCTAGGGGTGGAGCGGGGCCAGGACACCGGGCGATCGGGCGGGGATGCAGGGGCGGAGGAGGGGGCCCCGAGGCCGCTTCCGAGAACCGCAGCCGGGGCCCTCGAAGGCCCCCTCTTGTCCTGAGCTCTGGGGGTTGGGGCTTGTTAAAGTCCAGATGGGGGCGCCACCCTGAGACACTGGATCCGCAGGCTCCTGTTGGGGTTCCGCCGTTTGTGGGAGGCGGGGTGCTCAGACCCGTTGGTGGGGAGCGCCGCCCGCCCCCAGCCCGGTGCCCTCTTCGTTCCGGCCGCAGCCTCTCCCCTCTCCTCCGGCGCCCGTGGGCCAGCCGGACGATGCTGCCCGCTGCCCGTACGCTGGGGTGACCCCGTGACTGCAGGGACTGAAACTCTTGCCCCCCGTTCAGCGGTGCCCCAGCCGGCTCACTTTGTCCTGACTTTCTAAAATCACCTCGTGGCATGCTTCCTGCCACACACTCAAGGGTGGAAAGGCAGCCAGCGAAAAGGGCGAGGGTACTCCCAAACCGTGTATCTGATGAGAGTTCATATGGAGGATATACGAATAATTAAAAATCAAAATCAGCCCGATTCAAAAGTGGGCAAAGGGCTTAAACGGAATATCTGTCCAAGGAAAATACACAAATGGCCACAAAGCACACGGACTCATGCTCGGCATGTCTACTCATCAGGGAAATGCAACCCGGACCCCTGAGTGATGGCCCTCCAACGCTTCAGCATGTGCGGGGGAGGGGGCAGCAAGTACGGATAAGAACACGGAGAACTGGAACCCTTGTGCGCTGTGCCATCACTGTGGAAAACAGCATGAGAATTCCTCAAAAATTTAAATATAGAATTGCCACGTGACCCAGCAATTCCACTTCGGGGTATACACCCCAAAGAACTCAAAACAAGGTCTCAGAAAAGCATTTCTACACCCACGTTTTTGTTTGTTTTTTTTGTTTTTCTCTGGTACCAGGAATTGAACTCATGACCTTGCACTTGCCAGGCAGGAGCTGTGCCACTGAGATAAATCCCTGGCCGCATTTACACCCATGTTTATAGCAATGTCATTCACAATGGCCAAAGGGTGGAAGCGACCCTGTGACTGACAGACTAACGGATGAACAAAGCGAGGCGCATACACACAATGGAACGTTACACACCATGAAAAGGAAATTCAGACATACGCCACAACACGGATGAACCGTGAGGACATCATGCTGTGTGCTGGTAGCCCACGCTACCATTTCCCTCAGTACTTGGGGGGAAAAAAATCAGCCCATGCACAGGGGCACAGGCCTGTAATTCCAGCTACTCAGAAGGCTGAGAGGATTGCAAGTTCAAGGCCAGCCTGAGCAATTTATCGAGACCCTGTCTAAAAGAAGTCATAGAAGGACCAATACTATACGATTCCACCTCTTCATGGTATCTAGAGTCCTACAGTTTATGACAGAAAGAGGAGCGGGCAGCAGGGCTGGAGGGCAGAATGGAACGGCAGTGTCACGCAGTCCCAGCCTTTTTGGCACCAGGGAGGATGATTTTTCTACCACCAGGGTGGGGTGGGTGGGACAGTTTCAGGATGACTCAAGTGCCTTACATGTACTATTCCCTTTATTTCTATTATTATTACATTGTAACATTTAATGGAATAGTTATGCAGCTCATAATGAGGAATCAGTGGGAGCCCTAAGCCTGTTTTCTCGCAACCAGACAGTTCCATCTGGGGGTGATGGGAGACAGTGACACCCGAAGTTTACCCCGTCGTCTCATTTTGGTTGCTGCCACTGCAGAAAACTCTGCTTCACAAAGGTAGGATGTGGGACGTGGAAGCAGGTTTTTCCTTTCTTTTTTGTCATGGTTCTTTTCAGTTTATTGCATGAAGGAATTACGCTAGTCCAAGTTCAGATGGACCCCGAATGGTTACATTATATAAGCTGTGAACGGGGCTGGGGATTTAGCTCAGCAGCACAGGGCCTGCCTGGCAAGCGCAAGGTCGTGAGTTCAATTCCTGGTACCGGAGGAAAGAAAAACAAATATAAGCTGTGAGGTTTCTGAACTTGTGACAAGGGACAGAAGGGAAATTCTACTCACTGCAAGGAAATCCTCACTTAAACTTCCCTCAGCCACAGGCACTTAAAGCCCACGAGCCCTCAGCTGACGGCTCTGAGCCAGTCAGCCTCTGTCTGGCCTATGTTCTTGCGCTGATCCCCCTGCAGCTGAATTACCTGTCCATGTTCTGGATGCTGAATTATGGTACGACTGAAGGCAAATTTCTTCTTAACCACTAGCACTAGTTTCTTTTTACTGTAGTCATCAGCGATCCTTTGGACAGTAATGCAGGTCTTCCTGCCGTTTCTGTTGAATTCTTATATAGACATAACCCTCAGTGCCAGCAGAAAGCAAAGCATCACCCTACTTGCACCAGTGAAGCAATCAAAGAGGTGGTGATTCTGGATAGTACAACTCCAGGGGCTGGGGATTTAGCTCAGCAGCACAGTGCCTGCTTGGCAAGTGTGAGGTGGTGAGTTGGATTCCCGGTACCAGAAAAAAAAAAAAAAAAAAAGATATAGTACAACTCCTTTTCCTTGGTGGAAATGGCCTTGGGTAGGTGGCTTCAGGAGAAGAAGGACGGGGGACAGAGTGTCAGGAAGTGAAGGGCCCCAACGGGGAAGCTGCTGAGTTCTTGGCAGTGGCTCAGTCACTAAAGCTGAAGCAAGATTTTTCAGTGCTTTCGAGGCAATCTCAATTCTGCCTTGACTTTAATTCAGAACATATGGAGATTTGAAGGCGTCTCAAACGTGGTTTTAAGGCCACCCACATTGGTAATTTCAAGCAGTTGATCCTCTTCTGGCATGGACAAATTTGATTCGCTTGGCTTATTCACAAGGGAGTTGTAGATCCATTCCGGCCCAGTTCAGAGGTCTCTGGTGGTATGGAAATAATGCTCAAACTCTTTGAAAAGCAGAGATAGGTAATCACACACCAGCGGAGAGAAAGATGGCACTGACTCAGTCTCTTTCAAAATCTCTGTTAATGTTTCAAACACATCAAAGATCTCAATGTTCATCCATCACCCCTATAATTCCAGTTTGGCTTGGAATGCATCCCCTTTATCTGCTGACTTGAACACAACTGTTCTCCCTTGAAGTGACAGATTGAGTTCGTTAACCAGGCTGAACATGTCACACGAGTAAGCAAGCTTTCTGTGTCATTGAAAGGTGCTGCCAAGGGTGATTGTATTTTCTAAAATAAACCTCTAGAGCAGCTTTCATAACTCAAAAACTCTCACCAGTGACTTACCTTTAGAAAGCCATCTCACTTCTGTGACCAAAACATGCATGTTCTATGTCCATCACCTCAAAGAGCTCCATGAACAGACATGAGTCGAGGGCACGTACTTTTCTGTGGTTGATAATTTCAATCCCATCCTACAAAACATTATTAAGTCCAAGTGACTTTTTTAATTTTTTGGTTAGCCAGCTTGCTTGTTTGCCTCCTGTTCCTCTTCCTCCTCCTCCTTCCCTCCTCCTTCTCCTTCCTCTTCAACATTTGATCATTTTATTTACACATGCAATGTAATGTTTAGGCACACTGCCTGGGATGCTATTTCTAAAAAATTTGTTGTTTTTTAGATAGCCAGCATTTCTCCATGGCCAGCATTTCTCAATGGGTGACACAGCACGTAGACTCACATTCCAAAGCAACCTCTTTGACCCCAGTAGTGAAACCGGAAAGCTGTGGCCAGATGGAGGTAGCCACTCCATCTGTGTATATGCAAACACAAAATGACCAATCCAGCTGGGTGCGGTGCTGCATGCTTGCAGTCCCAGCACTGAGGAGGCTGAGGCAGGGGAATCGATACAAGTTTGAGGCCAGCCTGAACTACACAGTAAGACCCTATATAAAACAACAACAACAACAACAGACCAATCCAAGGGGACATAGAAAGAGTTAAGAAACCAGTGCGGTGGCACGTGATTACATTCCCAGCACTTGAAAGCTGAGGCCAGCTTGGGCTACACAGTGAGACCCTGCCTCAAACGAACACAGAAGAATTAAGATGTGTTATATACATATACCAACTCCTCATGGTGAATATAATCACTATGTACTGCAAACATGTGCTAATAAAGATAACAATTTTAAAAATCAACAGTGCAGTTTTCTGATACGTAATCATTGAAAGACGTGAATAGTTTTACAGCTGTGGGTGTTGGCTGGCAACCAAAGTGCACATAACAGTTCCTTGTGCACATCCTCCTGAAAAATTCGTCTCACAAACAAAAGCACTGTTGCACTGCTGTGAGCATCAGTAGACTTGCCAACCTGGCTTGCATACCACAGTAATTCATTAACCCCCTCTAACAAGTGTACCTCAGTAGCCGATGCTATTCATCTAGTAATGGTGCTAGCCAAAAGAGAAACACATGACACCTTTTGAACTTCAACCTCTACTAAAAGTTCACAATAAATGTCCTTAGAGGCAGGCAGGATCAACCCTCTGCTATAGCAGAGAGCTTCTGAGTTTTAGCAATGTCGTTAGCCACCAAGAATGATGCTCTCGGGGAAGACACATTTGATGAAGTAGTGGCCTTCAACAGTTATTTCTGCTCTTCGTGTTTGTATTTTTCCCTTTTGGAAAAACTCCAAAGGCTTCTCTTTTAATGCAGGATGCTTGGTCTCCAAGCGGTAAAGGAGTTTGGAAGGTTTCATGTCTTCGCTGGCTGCCACATAATACGCAAAGTAGACTAGCACAATATGAATCACTTGTTACAACGAACCTCAAATTTAAGTAGGACTCTTGGTATTTCCTTGTAAATGCAGCTTTCTTACTAGTGGAAGTCTTTGATTCTTCTGCTATCTTATCATTGGTCTTTCCCCCTTTTCAAAGAAAAATATTGGTTTTTTTTTTACTCATTTTTGATCAAGTTAATATGTGGGCTTATTAAACGTGACTGAGACTAGTACATAGTGAAGGAAAGAGGTGTGGGTGGAAATGGTAATCAAAATAGTGGGCAGGGCATGTACAGAGTAAAATAAGTGTGGGATTCTAATTTAAAGCCTGCCATATATGCAGCTTAAGTGTCATCTGCCATTTACTGATACAGTTTCAATGAGTCTGCAACCAACTGATTTATTATAGTCCTCATGCAGCCAAACCTCTCTCTGCTAAAACTGCTCTGAATCTGCAGCTGCTCCCCAGCACTAGCATCACTGCCTTAGCTCCACCTCAGATCATCAGGCATTAGATTGTCATAAGGAGTACACAACCTAGACCCCTCAAGTGTGAAGCTCACAATAGGGTTCAAGCTCTATGAGAATCTAAGGCCCCCGCTGATCTGACAGGCAGTGGAGCTCAGGCAGTGATGCAAGCAATGGGGAGCAGCTGTAAATACAGACGACGCTTCATACGCTAGCCGCTCACCTTCTGCTGTGCAGCTCAAACCATCTGTGGCCCCAGGGTTGAGGACCCCTGGTTTAATGGGTATAGAATTTCAGTTTTATAAGATGAAAGGAATTCTATGCATGGATGATGGCAATGGTAGCACAACACTGTGAATATTCTTTTTTTTTTTAAGTACCAGGAATCGAACTCATGACCTCAGGCTTGCCAGGCAAGTGCTTATGCCGCTCAGCTACATCCCTGACCCCATTGTGAATATTCTTAATGCCACTGAACCATACATTTCTTTCTTTTTTTTTTTTTTTTTCTTTTTTTTGTCTTTTTGAGACAGGGTCTCGCTATGCAGTTCAGACTGGCCTTGAGCTCACTTTGTAGCCCAGGCTGGTCTCGAACTCACAACGATCCTCCTGCCTCAGCCTCCCGAGTGCTGGGATTACAGCACCACCACGTCTGGCTCTTGAACCATACATTTTAAATGGTTAAAATTTAGCTAATATGCATTTTACCACAATTAATTCACTTTTTATTTGGGGGTTTTGGGGTGGCAATGTTTGTTCTGTTTGGTGCTATGGATCAAATCCAGTGCCTGTACCAGTTAAAAACATACTCTTTGACTGAGTTGCATCCCTAGCCCCACAACTGAAACTTTTACAAAACCTCCTCCCTGGCAGCTTCTGACCACCTGTACCTCTCCTCTCCAGAACAGATGAGACCTCCGCTTTGCTAATGGACGGCGAGCTCCTTGAGCATGGCAGCCCGTCAGTTCTGTGGCCCCTGCACAGAACCAAGAGGGTGAGTGCTCGGCAAAGTGCTCGGAGAAGGCAGGGCCACGCGTGTATGGCTGGGCGGCAGGCTCAGGGCAGAAGGTAACCCAGACTTTCTGCCATGGAGCAGGAATCCGGCCCCAGGGGCTGTGCCCACTGACCCAATACTGGCAAGAGGTGAACACTGTCCCATACCTTGACCCAAGTTTTGATCTTGAGTCCTAAGCCACAGCTACCCCACATACCCTTTGACAAATGTCAGAGCAAACTGCTCATACCCAGGAGACTCGCAACCTTGCCCTGACTCCGCGCTCACTCCGTGGCCTCCGGCAAACAGCTTCCTGTGCCTGGGCCTCCGATTGGCAGCTATAAAGTGGGCAGGGATACGGTCTGAATAGGTTTTGCCTAGCTCTAAATCTTAATCCTTTTCTTTAATCAATTTTAAGTGAATTATGAAATAATTTTGTTTGTTTGTTTGTTTTGGTGCCGCGAATCGAACTCAGGACCTTGTGCTTGCCAGGCAGGCACTGTGCCACTGAGCTATATCCCAGGCCCAATTATGAAATAATTCTAAATAAAAAGGTACAAAGGATACTCTTAATAGAAACCTCTGTTCACGCCCATACAGGTTAAACAAATGTTAACATTTTGCCACGTTCACATACTCCCACTCTCCTCATCTCTTTCCCCTGCTCCTCTTCTTTTTTTTTTTTTTGGAGGCGGGGTCTCACTGTGTAGCCCAGGCTGGCCTCGAACTCAGGGCAATTCTCCTGTCTCAGCCTCCCAAGCACTGGGATTACATGGTGTGCCAACAACGCCTGGCCTCCCTCTCTCTTAAGCAGGGTCTTGCTCTGTATGTAGTCCAGGCTGGGCTTGAACTCAAGATCTTTCTGCCTCAGCCTCCCAAGTGCTGAGATTACAGGTGTGTATCACCATACCTGGCTCATTTTTTTTTCCCCAATACTGGGAATTGAACCCAAGGCCTTCACATTGATACAGTCCCAGTATTTTTTTTTTAAACAGGGTCTTGTAGGTCACTAAGTTGCCTAGGCTGGGTTCAAACTTTAAATCCTGCCTCAGCCTTCTGAAGTACTAGGATTATAAACATTCACCACCACACCCAACTTCAGTATTTTTTTAAAAAAAAGAAATAACTGATAAATCTAAAACTCTTCCACTTCTCTATACAGATAACTATTATTCTCAAGTTAAATTAGATACAACTTGTCTACCTGTGTGTGCTTTTTCACTACATAGCTATATAATACAACACTGTATTAATAATATGACTATTACATAAATACTATATATAAATAATACATTTACATATTAACGATATATGCAGATAACTGGTTTCCTACTGTGTAAGTCTCTTTGAAAGTCATCTTTTCACTTATTACATGTTTGAGACTTATCCGTGTTGATGTTGATATGTGAAGACCTGATTCTTTAATCTTGATGCTGTCTGCCTTGCCACTGTTGGAATGCACCCCAGTTCCTTTGCTTGTTCCCTCACAGATAGAGTTGGTTGTCTCCATTTAGGCTGCTACCCACAAAGTGCAGTGAGGGCTCCTGACACGTCCTCTGTGCACACAGGGAGGGTGTCCTTCTAGGCGTCTAGGTGCTGAGTCACAGTGCCTGCACACCCTTAGCTCTTACAAGGTATTGCTAAATTCCTCTCCAAAGGTTTTCCTAAGCCACTGACGTCATGTTGTTTCGAATTCCAGAATGGTTCTGATCTTGAAAATGCAGTAGGCTGTGTGACTGCATTTATTCTTGGAAAGACAAAATTATAGTGGATGGAAGACAGGTCAGGGCTTGCTGGGCTGCGTGGGGAGGGTGGAACTGGAAAGGGAAAGAATGGGGAGCTTGGGAGGCTCTTCTGTATTCTGACTGTCATGACGATCACACAGGACACGTTTAAAACTCTTGTAACTGTACAGAAGGAAGACTCAATTGTTCTGTATGACAGTTGTGTGTGTGTGTGTGTGTGTGTGTGCACTGTTTAGTTTTTGAGACAAGGTCTCAATATGCAGCCCAGGCTGGCCTCAAACTCATGCTCTTCCTGCCTCAGCCTCTCAAGTGCTAGGATTATGTGTGTGTGCCGCCACGCCTGGCTGCCTGTATGACAGTTTTAAAAATAAAAACATAAATGTTACATTTAAACATGTAAAACGGCACAGACTTCACATATTACCTGAAAGTACCAGTTAGATTTAAAATGGTGCCTCATAGCCAGGCTTGGGGGCACATGCTTGTGATCCCAGCATTCTGAAAGGCTGAGGCGGGAAGACTGAGCTCAGCGTGGGGCAATTCAGACTCAGTGATACTACGCCTCAAAATACTAAAAAAAGTTAGAAGGACTGAGGATGTAGCACTGTGTAAAGCCCTTGCCAAATGGCACCCCCTAAAAAAATTAGCATTTCTCCCACAAAGTACATGAATAATCACATTAGTTAGATAAATTAATTTGTTCCCCTTAAGAGAGGGTGGTCATCTTCGCTTGTTTTGATGGGATTTTTCAGCAAAATGTCTAGAAAACAAGAGAAAATAGGCAGAGGGCCAAAAAGCTCTCTGAGAAACCACGCACAGCCCAAGCCGCAGGAATCTTCCAAGGCTCCCCTGAGAACCTGTTCACTTTTCCTGTAGTCTCTATTCTAAGAAAAGATGATCTGTTTTCCAGCCCACAGCACATTAAAAGCATCAGCTTAGAAGGGGAAATGCAAGCTGTTTGTTAAAACTGAGAAAGGAAAGTCCAAATAATAATCAAAAAGAAATACGGGGGACTGGGGATATAGCTCAGTGGCACAAGCACCTACCTGGCAAGCATAACGTCCTGAGTTCGATTCCCGCTACAAAAAAAAAAGAGAAAGAAATACAGGGAGCTAGGGGCGCAAATATGGGGCACAGCTCGGGTAGAGCTCTTGCCCAGCACACTTGAAGCCCTGGGTTTCAGCGAGCAGCAAAGGAACGGAGGGAGGAAGGAAAGACAGGGTCGCAGGCGCCACAGCGCACTCTGGGGGCAGAAGGCCACTGGGCTCCACACGGTCACTCAACAGCCACCTTCGGGGGCGCCCGGCTGCTCTGGCTGCGGGGCCTTCCTAGTCAGAGGTGAGAAGGGCACGGGAGGACGCCAGGCGTGGCTGTCCCTGGGAAGCGAGGTGGGGAGATGCAGCAGACCCTGCAGTCTCGAATTCTGAGAGGGCTTTGATCCTCCTGGAGCTCTGAAATCATTCCATTTGCCTCTTTTATTTAGCCTTCACTGTATACTCGTTTGGGAGATTGTGGACCTGATCAGTCCGCAATAACTAAAGGATATTATTAACCCAATAGAAAAGTAGTGACGCTGGGAGATGTTTCTACACACATGCTCCTTCTCTGGAGAAAAAGCTGCAACACTTTTTTTTTGTCTTTTTGAGACAGGGTCTCACTTTGCAGTTCAGGCTGGCCTTGAGCTCACTGTGTAGTCCAGGCTGGTCTCAAACTTGCAATGATCCTCCTGCCTCAGCCTTCCGACTGCTGGGATTATAGGCATGCGCCACCACAACCAGCTTAAAAAGTACAATTTTCAATTTATGATTTTCCATGTCTCCTTTTCACCTATCTTTATTTCTTCTATCTCACCTGTCTTGTTTTGTTTTATTTTGTTTTAGCACTAGGATTTGAACCCAGGGACACTCTACTACTAAGCTACTTCTCTGGAGTGAGTTTCAAGATCAACAGAGAGAGCCGGCAGTGCTGGTGCACACCTGTAATCCCAGCACTGGGGAGGCCGAGGCAGGAGGATCCCTGAGAGTTCAAGGCCAGCCTGGGATACAAAGTGAGCTCAAGGCCAGCCTGAACTGCACAGCGAGACCCTGTCTCAAAAAGACCAAAAAATGAAAAAAAAAAAAAAAAAAAAATCAACAGAGCTTGGGGCCTAAAACTCCCAGAGGCATCTCAGAACCACCTCCCCCCAGACTGGTACAGGTGTGGCACATCCCACGGCAGAGGTGTTGCCTGGGTCTTTAAAGCAAGTAAAGTATTTAGCAAACCCCCAAATTTAACCACACATCTTAAGGCTCTTGAAACCAAGGCCTAAAAGATGTGACCTACAAGATAGTGCTGCAGGCTAATTCTGAGAAACGTGGAGTAAGGTACGGTGCCAACTCACCCAGCATAGCAGCTTTCCAGGATGGCTGTTCCTTTTCATGCCGTCCAGATCTCGTGGGAGCTCGCGAGAAGTTCTACATACGGGGTCCTCAGGTTGCCCTGGGAGCTTGTGATTGACAGGTCCTGCTCATTTCCCCAGCCGGCTTTGCGTCGCCCTGTCTCCCATATCAATATGCCCTTACTGGGACCTGGGGCACGGCTCCTGCCTGGCAAACGCGAGGTCCTGAGTTCAATTCCACATTCCAAAAATATGTAAGTATGTATACACAGGATAGCTAACATAGTTGTACTACGTCTTCTATTCCTTTACAGAAAGGAACAGCTCATGATGACTTGTTTGATCAATCATGTATGTCTCTGTTTTCCTGAGAAACCACTTTGAAGATATCAGTAAGTAATACAACAACCATTGTCAATTTCCAGCAACTTTGTCTGTAACTCTGTTTTGTTTGTATTGTTCTTATGCTATTTTGTAAATGGATGGCTGTTTGTTGATATGTTTTCCTTCTTTTATTTCTTAAAATTAAAAAAAAAAATCCAGATTCAAAAAAGACCTTACTCAGGGAACAACGTGCCCCACTCAGGGAAGAGGGCGTGGCCTGCTGGTCCGGAATGCCCTCCCTTGGCTCTTGCTTGGTCACTCTCCCAAGAGTATTAAGATAGGAAATTAGGGCTGGTGCAGACCGGTTAAATAATTGGGCAAAATCTATCCACACCATGCAGACCCAGGACACGTGCCCGGAACACGGGATCCAGGATGGCTCTGCAGTTCCTGAGCACCACGCGAAGAACCAATCAGAAAAGTGCTACTTTCAATTCTTCATTTACATCCGATGCAGAACTAAGCGAATCTCCGATAGGACAGTTTAACTCTGGCACGAGGCCAAGTGAGTTTTGCTAGGACGAAGGTCCCAATGTTTCATTTCAGTGAGGGAGAAGTCAGTCCTGGAACTTCAGATCAAAAAGACCCCTTCCCCTCAGCCTCACTTGTGAGTCTGTTCACCCGCCCGCTCTCACTCTGCGGAGCCTGCTGCTTTTCCACCTGCAGCAAATGTACGTCCCCGCTACCTTTCCTGTATGTCTTGTCCAAGTCTTTATTCAGCACACTACGAGCCCCGGAAAGAATTCCCCTGGGGCGCACCGGCTGATAACCGTGAGGCCACTCAATGAAGAGACAGTCGTCAGTGTCCCCAGCCCTGGTCCCCACTCAGCCAGGCCTTGTGCTTTGAACTTGACACCGTTGTGTCCCTGACCTTACTCTTCATAGGCTTCTCTTAAAACCACACTTCCAGGGGCTGGGGATTTAGCTCAGCGGCACAGTGCCTGCCTAGCACTGGCGAGGTTGTGAGTTTGATTCCCGATACTGGAAAAAAAAAAAAAAAAAAAACAGCCAGGTGCCTTTTCTTCCCCTCGGTGATCAGCACTGCCCACGTAGTACCTCCTCTTCTCCTTGCTGTGACAGGAACTATGGTTACTGCCCACCCAAGCTCATTCACTTAGGTGCCTTGCTCAACACTGGCCAAATCAAAGGATGCCATATATTTGGTCAAAGGGAATAAATATTTTATTCCCTGAGGAAATGGAGGGACCCATTTGCGGCCTATCCCCATCTCCCTGGTACAGGTGGGCAGGGGTCTCTTACAGGAAGATCAGGGTGGGCGCAGAGAGACGGGAAGATCTCCACACTTGCTTTGTCACTTCCAGCCTTCTTCAGCTCACCCTCCTCTTTCCCGAGGAGAGGAAAGGGGCTCCGGCCTCTGGTCTGGCCAGCATCTGCACAGTCTATCACTTCTTTTGGGCTGAGGAGAGGAGGGAATGTTGGTTATACGCTCCAGCAAGGGGAAGCCTGGAGAAGTTGCTTGTCTCTAAAGGAAAAAAATCTAATTTTTAAAGTTCCAGTTTGCGATACAGGCTACACTGTGACTATCCCCATGTGACAAGAAAGGTCCCCAAGGCACAGAGTTTGAATAATTGATCAGGCTTAAAAAATAACAAGGAGTAGGTCAGAAATGAAACCTGCATCAAGGGAGGGGAAGAGGGAGACAGGAGGTGTTCCTAGAGGTCAACAAAATGGATTTTATTAAGTGTATGACAAGATGTGACTGTTTTTATATCTTATGAGGTTTTTCTTTTTTCTTTTTTTTTTTTTTTTTTTTTTTTTTATGGTTTCTCTTTGCAATTCAGGCTGGCCTTGAGCTCACTTTGTAGCCCAGGCTGATCTCAACTCACAACGATGCTCCTGCCTCAGCTTCCTGAGTGCTGGTATTACAGGCATGTGCCACCATGCCCAGCTTTGCTTTGCTTTGCTTTGCTTTCTTTCTTTCTTTCTTTCTTTCTTCCTTTTTTTCTTTTCCTTTTTCTTCTTTTTTTTTTTTTTTGTGGTTCTGGGGATTGAACTCAGAGCCTTGTGCATGCTAGGCAAGCACTGTACCACTGAGCTACACCCCCAATCAAGATTTTTCTATTTTAAAAAAGTATTACATCAGGAGGCTGAGGCAGGAGGATCGTTGTGAGTTCGAGACCAGCCTGGGGTACAAAGTGAGCTCAAGGCCACTCTGAACTGCATAGTGAGACCCTGTCTCAAAAAGAAAAAAAAAGTCTTACAAATTAAAAAACAAACAGTTTTGTCTGGTTGCTACACAAAAACTATGCTTCAAAAAATAACATTTACAGATGTTCACAGCAGCATTATCCACCACAGTCCAACAAAAGGTAGAAGCACTCAAATGTCCAGCAGCAGCTGAAGCGATAAGCCAATAGTGGTACAGTTTATCAGTACAGCCACAAAAAGTAACAAACTAAAGCGGGGCGGGTGGGTCAGTGGCAGATCACTTCCCTAGCCAGTGTAAAGCTGTGAGTTCAGTCCCAATACTGAAAATACAAACAAACTTAAAAGCTATTCATGAAAACGTTAAGCCAAGTGAAGGGGACAGGAGGCTGGAGGGGCGTGCGGGGCGTGTTTCATAGACACGGGGCCCCCTTCAGCTCCGGAGCATTTCCGAGCTTTAACCCGACCATGGGAAGATTGCACAACACTGTGAAGGTGCCAAATGCCACTGAACTGTTCACTTTATTTTATTTTTATTTTTTGTCTTTTTGAGGCAAGGTCTCACTATGCAGATCAGGCTGGCATTGAGCTCATTTTGTAGCCCGGGCAGGTCTCGAACTTGTGAGGATCCTCCTGCCTCAGCCTCCTGAGTGCTGGGATGACAGGTGTGCGCCACCACGCCCGGCTTGAACTGTTCACTTTAAATGATTGACTTTGTTATGTGAATTTCACCATCTACGTAATAGATCAAGTTTTTGCCCATTAAAAAGTCACAAGAGGGGCGGGGGATTTAATTTAGCAGCACAGCGCCTGCCTGGCAAACACAAGGTCATGAGTTCGATTCCCGGTACCGGAAAAAAAAACAAAAAAGGAAAAAAAAAAAAACAAGAGTCACAAGAGAGGTCTCTGGCAAGCCTTCATCGTCTTCAGGTGAGCCCCACAGGAAGTGAGGGAGCCGGCTCCTACTCCAAACAGTCCTGCCGGAAGGGCTTCGCCCCAGGAACGGGGCATGGGAAAGCCCTCTGGGTGGGTCTCTTACCAGGGGATTGCACTCAGGGCTCCAGGGGCCTCGGGGCCACTGAGGGCCAGGAGAGGCCTGGAGAACCGGGCTCCTCCAGCTGCGCACCTCCGCCTACCCAGTGCACCTGCCTTCTGGGAAGGACCCACTTCTAAGAAAGAGCAACTAGCTGGGGATTTAGCTCAGCGGCAAAAGCGCCTGCCTGGCAAGCGCAAGGTCGTGAGTTCAGTTCCCAGTACCGGAGAAAAACCAAAAAAATAAAAAAAATAAAAAAGAACAACTAGCCGGGTGTGGTGGCTCACGCCTGTAATCCCAGCCTGAACTGCATAGCTAGACCCTGTCTCAAAAAGGCAAAAAACAAAAGAAAAAAAGAAAGAGCAACTCAACATAAAGTCCCACAAAGACAGGAAAATCACCTATTTTCCTCTATCCCCTCCTTCACAAATGGAGAACATCAAAGCCCAGCTGGGTAGTTTTGTAGAACAGGGAGACCACAGGCCCTGGAGCTGGCTTTGATTTGCAGATGTTCTGGGAGAAGGAGTAGTAGATAGGCAATGCAGCAGGACTTGCTTCCTGCCACCCTCTCCTGGGGCCTTCAGGGAAAGTCCAACGGGGCAAAACCCACCACCCACTGCCCTTAGGGCCCTGGGACACAGCTGAGCCGGCGCAGACCTGAGCCTCTCCCCGGGGCCTTAGGCTCCTTGACTAGGGTACTCCTCCGTCCGCCCGTTTCCCGCCCCAGCCTGTGTACCTTGTGCAGTCTCTGCCTGCCTTGCAATAGGCGATCTCCAGACCCTGCACCCAGTAAGAAATGATAGCTTTTCATGTTTTTCCACAGGCATTTACTATATTATAAAAGCTTGACTGCATTCTCGTTGCCCAAATTTTCAAGCACTTCCTTTGCTTTTTTTTTTTTTTTTTTTTTCTTGAGACAGAGCCTCTCTATGTAGTTCAGGCTGGTCTTGAACTCACTATGTAACCCAGGATGTCGAGGAGCATTCTATATAATTGTTTGGGGAAAATCATTTCATAATTAAATGGTGACCAGGGCTTGTCCAAGGCCTACTGCCTTGCCTGCAGGCCAGCTATGGTATGCAGGAACAAAACTCCGTGTGCCTTTGGTCACAGTTGAGGTCTCAACGGTCCCGTGATGCAGAGACAACCCAGGGCAAGACAAGCTGAAGACATTCTGGTTCCTTGAGAACCCAGTAGTAATGAAAACAGTTTCACCTTGGGGAAAGGACAAACTGCTTCTTAACCTGCCATCTCTCCCCACTGTCCTCAGCATATTAGCATAAGGTCTATGATGCCCTCTGAGTCATCCAATAATCCCTCCAATTATTGTACACCCAATAAACAGTGGCTGGCTCAGTACATCTTGTCTTTGCCCATCCTGAGGCACTGACCTCCTGGGGGCCCCCTTCACGCATTACTAAATTTGTCTCTGTTTCTCATTTCATCCTTTTGCCATATCTCATACGGGCAGTTG